ATCTTTCCTTATTTAATCCTCTTTTATAATAGTGTTTTATATTGATAGAATTGAGATCATTTGCATCATAGAAAAAAGAATATTCATCTACTTGAGGATTTTAATCAAGATATGTAGATATATTTTTAAAATCAAATACTTGATTTTTTGGTACCAAATGTTGATTTTGTCGTTCATCTAGATAATTGAAAATATCTTCAATTGAAATTGCTTTGGTATAACCAAATTCTTGAAGCAAAAATAATAATTTTGATTGTAAGTCCATTTTTTCTTATATAGAAAAAAATCTACTTGGTTTTAGACTGAGCAGATAGAGATTGAGAATGATATTCTGGAGAAACAGGCTGATATTCTTTGATCTTTTCTAAACGATTATTTATATCTGTTTCTATTTCTTTAGCAATAGATATTTGTTTTTTCTTTTTACCTTTGCAAAATATATATTGTTTGAATTCGTGTAAAAGTTTAATTTCATTTTTATAAATTGTTGTACCTGTATCTTTAAAACTTTTAATCCAAAAAAAAATATCATAATCAAGTTTATAAGTATGAAAATATCTTTTAAATCACATAAGCAATTCTTTTTTTGACATGCTATTTAATTTTTCTTTTGCTGAAAGAGATTTATCAATATTTTGTAATAATTTAAAATAATTACATCTTTGACTAAATGGACATCAATTATCTTTATGCCTATTGTCATATTGCCAACGATGTGGTTGAAATTCTTAGTTGTTAGGACATTTGCATTGAAAAAATCAAAAAAATTAATATACTGACTATGTTCTAATATATCAAATTTTTCTTTAGAATTTTGTTTTGAATATTTAATTACATATGAATGACCGAGATCAATATTCTACCAAGCAATGAAATTTTTAATAATAAATGATTCATGAACAATTTTATAATTAATTGGAGAAAATCGATTAAAATGTGTAGTAATGTCTCTATTAATAAGAGACATTTTAAGAAACAATTTTTTGTTTCTTAATAAATAACTATAGTAAAACTAACTGTATTCATTATCAAATCAAAACTAATTTGATGGTGAACTTGATATTTTTTCAAGGCTTTTTATAGCAAATTTTCAACAAGCCAAAAAAAATCTAAGTTTTTTTTTGTTTTTCAAGAACACCTTATTTCACAAATATTTTGGTCAATTTTGGAAATACCTTAAAAAGTATATATATAAAAAATTAACATTAACGTTTGATAAACAACACATATTAATTGATCTAAACTAATTAAAGAATTACTATAAAAGTAAATACCAATTTAGGTATAAATATAAAAATTAAAATACGTGTATCTAATTAAAAAATTATAAAATACATATCAAAAATTATTTTATTTTTAATATAAAAAATGAAATATCTTTCTA